GCTTGGGTTTATTCTCAAGGCCCAAACCAGGGCCAAAATGGGGCCCAACAACTATGTATGCTATGTTGGCCTCCATCTCAGAGATCTGTCTGCCTCTGCCTCCTGAGTGCTGGGATTACAATGCACTATCACTATCACTTTTGCTGCTTGTACTTATGTAAAACAGTATTGTCCAACCCAAGGTCAAGATTTATTCTTGTATAAGCCCATACCTGCTTGATAACCATCAGCTCTTGCGTTTAGAACTAGGGTCCATTTGGCTTAGGCCTTATTTGTGGTGTGAGGGAGGAGTCCAGCTGTGGAGTGAGGGAGGAGTCCAGCTGTGGTGTGAGGGAGGAAGGAGTCCAGCTGCGTTCTTTTTTGAATGGATATCCAAGTGTCTTAGCACTATTTATTGAAAGGATATGTCAAGCATTTGGCACCATCTGTCTCCCTTTCTCCTCAGAAACCCCTAAGGATTTGTGTTCTCATTTCCTTGTCACAGATAAAGACACCAAATCATAGAAAGATTAAGTCACCTGCCTGTGGCCACACAACTGATATGTGCAGGAACCTACATTTTAACTCGTGTTTCTCTGACCTCAGACACTACTTTATTCTTTAAAAGCTTTTTATAAATGATAAAGCAACAGTGTAGAACACATTTTTGAAGAGAATAAGCTTTCTAGAAGGGAATGTTTAAAGAGAGAGAGAGAAAGAGAGAGAGAGAGAGAGAGAGGGAGAGAGAGAGAGAGATAACTGATAACCCAACATTCAGAAAAAGAATAAACAGAGGCAGAGAAAGACTGCTTGTATCTGTGGATTCATAAAAACAGTGGCTTTTAGACATCCTTATTTTATTATACACTGTTTTTAACTAGGATACCTGTTATCTTGACTTTTGTATATGTAATTCATATAAAACTCCCCACGATACCACCAAGAGCACAAAATTGTGGAAGAATACCAACATCTGGTCTTGGTAAGGAGCCACTTCCTTTAGCATCATGTTAGAAAATCATCAGAGATCAAAAGGCTCTTCCCAAGAAGTGTGTACACCAATACATCCAATTATACAAATTGTCATGTGCTGTGTATTATGTGTTTCTCATGTTGATATTGTTTTGTTCTTAACTCATTTCCCTGAAGTGGTAAAAAAAAAAAAATCTCATCACAGACCGCCATTTGTAACTTTATCTGCTTTGAGAGGAGGAACTGCATATTCCCTTCCCAGCACATAGCTCACTAATGTTTTTCAAGTGAATAATAAAGAATGAATCAGCAGTCGTGGGAACACTGTGGGTAGAAGGTTAGCTTTAAGACAGTTATGCAGGGTTCTCCTAGAATCTTAGGGGACTATTTGAACAGTGGTACAAGGAGCAAATAGCCTAAACAAATAGTATAAATGTTCACATATAGCCCTTAAAACAGCCTCTGAGATCAGCTCTAAACACTTCCTCCTCTCTCTAGCAGAGGGGCAGCTTGGTCTCAGAAATTCCACCCAAGGATCATATGTGCTTAGTTCTACATTTGTGCCAACAATGTCGAGCAGAGTGTGTAAAAATGCACAAGTAACTGACTACATGAGATGAACAGGTAGGGGACAGAGGCTGCCTGAGGGTAGGAGAGGCAGCCTCATCACCCCAGGAAAGATGACTGCGGCTGGAAGGCTTTTCTGGAATAAGAACTGTGTATGTCAATCCTGTTGCCTGAAAGGCACTTCTCCCTCCCGCTGCAGGCTGCACTCCTGCATTTAGAACCTTGTTATTAGGTGGGTGGTTGGCCATATGGTTGTTATCTGATACGAGTCCTTCATCAATTCTTGTATACAAAAACTGTGCATGAACACATCGACAGGAAGCTTGCTTTCCTTGTTTCGAAACACGATTCTCCTGTATTTTTAATATCTTGAACAGATTTGTATTATAACTTGGTGTCCTCTGCCTGGGTCATGAGTCATAGCCCTAAGAATTTCAGGACCTGAAAGGCTATATATCAGCTTTAAGTATTTAAAAATTAAAAAGGTAGCTAGCTATAACATCAACAAACACACATAAAGCTTTTTTTTTTTTAAAGATTTATTTATTTTATTTATGAGTACACTGTCGCTGTCTTCAGACACACCAGAAGAGGGCATCAAATCTCATTACAGATGGTTGTGAGCCACCATGTGGTTGCTGGGATTTGAACTCAGGACCTCTGGAAGAGCAGTCAGTGCTCTTAACCACTGAGCCATCTCTCCAGCCCATAAAGCTTTTATTTGATCAAAAATTGGCAAAAATATCAGAGATGGATGAAATTTGATCAGTACAAATTTAGAATATATTAATGTAATGATGAATTCCATTTCAAAATAAAACAGTTTTTTCCATTTTAAGAAATTTCCTGAGCAAGAGAGATGGCTCAGCAGTTAAGGGCACTGGCTGCTCCTCCAGAGGTCCTGAGTTCAATTCCCAGCAATCACATGGTGGCTTCAACCATCTATAATGAGATCTGATGCCCTCTTCTGGTGTGCAGGTGTACATGCAGATAGAGCACTCATACACACAAAATAAATAAGTAAATCTTAAAAAAAATTTTCCTAACATATTCAAAACTCTCTATGGAAGATAAAGGTAAGAAACGTGACACACTTATTTACTTATATTTAACACATGCTAATAAATTAAATCGCTACACAGTAGTAATAATAATAGAGCTGAAAGGTTTTGACTTCTTGGAGCTGCAGTTTTGACAGAGATACTTTCTGTAATCCAGTCTGGTGTTCTGTGCTTCAGGATCTGTGAGTCTTGTGAGTTCTGCCTAAGCCTCCGTGTAGCGACATTTAAGGACAGTGTCGCATGATCAAATATCCTTCAACCTCTGTGTGCTTTGTTGTGAGCACTGCACTGAACTGAGAGTACTTCTGGAACTGTAAATGTCAGCGCGACGAGAAGACAGGAAGCACATGCTCCGGATTTGTCAAGCATCTCGTTCTCCAGATGTTATTGGTGAAGATCTCACACTGGAGAGGACACAGACTGGAACGGGTTCGACACTATCAAGCTGTGTATAGATGTGCTTAAAAAAAAAGTGCTGCCGGCACACAGAGGAAAGAACTGCCCACGTCGGTGTTGTGTGGTGGTGTTTGTTTGTTTTCTGAGACAGGGTTTCTCTGTGTAACAGAGCCCTGGCTGTCCTGATTTGCTTTGTAGACCAGGCTGGCCTTGAACTCACAGAGATTCACCTGCTTCTGCCTCCTAAGTGCTGGGGTTAAAGGTGTACACCACCATGCCTGGCAGGTGGTGTCTTAGGGTTTTATTGCTGTGAAGAGACACCAAGACCAAGGCAACTCTTATAAAGGAAAATATTTAATTTGGGCTGGCTTTAGCAGTTTCAGAAATTCAGTCTATTATCATCATGGCAGGAAGCATGGCAGCCCACAGGCAGACATGGTGCTGGAGAAAGAGCTGAGAGTTCTACATCTTGATCTAAATCTGGTAGGAGACTACGTACCACACCGGGCAGACCTTGAGCACAGGAGACCTCAAAGCTTCCCCCACAGTGACACACTTCCTCTAACAAGGCCACACTGTTGCAGCAAGGCCACACATAATAGTACCATTCCCTATGAGTCTGTGGGGGCTATTTCTATCAAGCCACCACAGGTGGCTTGGAAAAGGCATTAGAGCTGGGAGAACAAGGGCAGCTTCTACTAAACGCTAACCTAACGTCCCTCCACTCCACACCAGTCTGTCTAGTCATGGTTGCTTTCCACAGTCATGTTTGGAAGCCCTGTGCTCACTTTACAGAGGAAAACAGCTGGGGACCAGAAAGGCTAAGGAGCTACTTGCTCAAGGACATATACATGACAAATGACAGAGCTGGAGTTTTGATTCCCAGGTCTTTCTGACTCCAGTGGATGGCCTTTGCACTGAGCGCTGATGTTTGACTTCTTACAGAGATGTGTAAGAACTCACTGGAGAATGTAGCAGGTAAGAGGTATCCCAGCAAAAGCAGCAGCACCTGATCTTAAAGGTCTTATGTATTTCTGCAAGTGAGGAAGGACGCTGGAGAACTCACAAGGTAATACGTGGATCCTCCCCGCAGCATTCCTACACTCCCGCGAGTCTCAGATGGAGGAAGGAGGTGGTAGAGTGACCTAGTGTTTCTGAAGTTCCTTTGTGTTCCTTTCCCATTTTCTTGGGAAGCAGGGACAGTGGTGGGAACTGAACCCAAAGCCTTGCGTATGTTAGGCAAGCATTCTCTGACTGAGCTACACCTCCGTCTCAGTGCTTTTTCTGAATCAATTTAATCTTAACATAGGTGTTCCAGATATCCCTGGCAACCAGAGTGCAAGCTGAGCACACTTCTGTCTTGTCTGGAAGATCCCATGACTTCGTACAGATTCTGCTTCATAGCCTTAGTAGTGCTGCAGACTGAAGTAAAGCATCTACCAAAACAAAAATATTGATTCTCCTCATCATTTGTCATCTGTTCTCAGGCCTTGTCCAAGTCATACCTCCCGAGCCACCATTTCCCCTAGGAATTACGTTGGAAGTGCTGCTTTTATGAATATATACAGTTTTACTGCTACAGCCTGTTGCACACTGATTTGTTCCACTTAGCGTCGATATATATACATATAATATATATTATTTTATAATTATTAATATACATAAAATTTATTTGTTTGTTTGTTTATTTATTTATAGCTCTGCGGTGTACACACAACCACCAGCGGATTAACTTCAGCATCCATGGGTAAGCCCGCCAAAGGCCTGCGTTCTTCCAACCCCTGGCACATGGTGGTGCTGGGCGCTGGAACGAATCCGCGAAGTCCAGGCGCGCAGCTCGCTTTCCCCTGGCTGACTTCACCCCAACTCTTCCGGCCCCGCCCCAGGTGACCCCTAGGGGCTCGTTCAGGGGGCGTGGCTGGCGCGGGGCATGCCGGGCGGGCAGGTGGGCAGGTGCCTGGGCGGGGCGCGCCGTGGTTGGCAGCGGGCGGAGGGGCGGTGGCTGCGCACCCGAAGAGCGGTCGGCAGTACGAACGCCGAAGGCGGCGGACGGGGTCCTGACATGGACAAGCTGAAGAAGGTGCTGAGCGGCCAGGACACCGAGGACCGCAGCGGTCTGTCCGAGGTGAGTGCAGCTTGGGGAAGTTGGCGTTTCTTGGAAAGCTGTCCTGCTCTCCTCCCGCCCGCGACGCTGAGCTCTGCTGGGACACAGCCACAGGTGGCAGCGCGGGCTCTTTGTGGAAGGCGTGGCTCTCGAACCCTCCCCAACATTCCCTCCGAAGGGCTGGAGGCTCTGAAGCAGGACCTCAGAAATCTGTGGAGTGGGAGTGTGGGTACCGAGGCCTCCTGGATCCCCGGCCCCGAGCCCCCATCCCAGCCCGACCGGCCCGGGAGAGCCCTTTGGTTGGGCGAGGCCGGCGGCCTTCTTAGAAGGATCCTCCGTCGGATCGCGGACTAGTTTAGGTTGTGGGGTGTGAGAACCAGACCTTATGCGTACTGCTTTGTAATTGTAAAACTCTGTGAACGCCTAATAACAGGGACCTACCAGGTCTCTGAGTCTCCAAGGTTACTTCCTAGACTACAGATTTCCAACACGCCCGGAGACTGCCAGTGTGTTTGTTTTATTAGTAGGGCTTTGATAGCTCTGCAACTTGCTCTCAAAGTCCCCGTGCTCCAGAGCCACTCAGAATGTCACATTTTAAGTGCTTTGGAAGTTTGTTTACATTTCCTTTCTTGAAGACAGAATTACGTTTTACTTGATGTTTCCTTAGTCCCGGTTTCCCCTTCTGAGAAAGAAGGGTGTTGAACAAGAAAGATGCTATAGCCCTTTCCCCTTGGAAACTGGAGTTACTATTTAATGTTTACTTGTGCTTCTTGTGCTTTTCCCAACATTCTGCTCCCTCTTCTGTGGTTGATTTTGTTCTGAGTTTTGTCTTTGCAAAAATACACTTGCACCTCCGAGGGAGTAAGAAATTATTTTGAAGCCAAATATGAGTGACCATGGCCCCAGGACAGATTCAGGTTACTGCAAAATCAGTGTTCCAACATGATAACAGTTTGATAAGTTCTTAGAGTAACAAAACAAAGTAATTAAGGTACTTTTCAGGCACGTCAGTGGAAGCAGTAAGCAGGCAGTTACAGCAGCGTGGAAGAATCTCAGCTGCAGCTCCGAGGGGCTGGCTGATGGCATTGTTAAGACCTTGTTAAGTGGCTGGCTGATGGCATTGTTAAGACCTTGTTAAGTTAATAAATTCCAAGGTGGTTTTTCCTTGTAGTTACAGGTAGGTTAGTCACTGTTATATCAGACACAGGTGGGCAAGAAAAGACTGCTTCCGTGGGGGCTAAAGCTAGCACAAGATTACTTGCAATTAGGCTCTGGAGTGCAACTTTCTAAACTCTGCATGACCATTAAAATTCAAATCAGTGATTTTCATGTTTTAATTTTTTTTCATTTTTAAAATTCTGGCTTCATGTGAACTTTCATATGAGATGAAACCTACAAACGCCCCAAGACTTAGTTGCCCATCATTGTCATGTAAAGATAAGCTCTGTAGAAGTAACAACACGCTGTTGTACAAAGTTGGGGTCTTAGAGGAGACTGGTGGAGGGTGCAGTGTTGACCGGGAGGTGTTGTCATCTTCTGGAGTGATGTAGTGCCATTTGAAAACAAATTGCCTAGACATCCCTCCCCCTTCACCCCTTTCTTCCTAAATGGTGAATGCTTGTGTTGGATTCAGTGAAGGGCTTTGATCTCCACTTCAACTCAGGCATATGTTACATCTATTTGTAAAAGATTGTGGCTTCACTCTTGTTTGAAAATATTCTCAGTTTCCTCTTTCCTAGTACAATTCCTGTTGATACGAGTATCGTGTGACCATTTCCAGGTCTGGAACTCCAGGAAATATTCTGTAGCCAATAGAGTTCTTCTTTGGGGATGTTTTGGCTTGTTAATCACTTACTAGGTCCCACCTCCTTTTAAGTACTCACTAGCGTGGTTACATTTTCGGAAAAACTGAAGGATTCTGTGGTTAAATTCCCGTTTGTATGGTTAGCTGGATGGAGTCACTTTCAAGTCTTTTCAGTTATGTAACCTGTAAGAAGTTACCAGAAAAGTTAAAAAAAAAAATTTCTAATTTACTTTAATGCCAACAGAGAAACTGAGAACTTCTATCTTCTGTCCTTTCTAGGTAGCTGTAGAGTTGGCAGGGCCCATACACACAAACAGCCTTCTGATCTGAGCCCTCTAATTGACACCCATCTTCATAATTGCACTTAAATCCTGGTTTCAGTAGAGTCCTTTCTGAAAGAATAGGCTTTCTGTTTTCTGGAAAGCGTTCTTGGGACAAAGGTCTGAAGGGTGTCTGATCATACCTCACAGGAATAACACAGCATTCCTTTCTTACCGGTTGCCAGTCTCACCTTCCTGGGCCGTCCCTAAGTATAGCTCTTGGCAATAGTCTCTCTTCCTTCTCCATCCTGGAGTCAAAGGGACCTTTGTGTATGACCACCAGTCAGACAGCTTGTGAGTACATTCCCTACACACTCTGTCTAGGTACTGTTTTAGCCATTTTGATTTTTGAAAAAAGCTCTGTCCTAGCAGGGTTTCCAGAAACAACAAGAGTAGAGAAAGATTTTTTCCATCAACTGAATTCACTTTCAGAAATTGACAAAAAGTACTTTCCTTTCACGGAGTCTACTTAGAGGAAGTGGAACAGCAACTTTCTCCTCTTTCCATGACAGAACACACATACAGTGGGAAACGTGGTAGTGAGTTACCCCTGTTCCCTACCCTGTGTCCCTATCCCCATTAAAGAACAGGTAGCATTTGGGTGAGCATTTAGACAGGGTCATCTTGAGACATTTGTTGAACCAAGTATTACTCTCGTCTGACGGTAGAAAGCAGAACCATACTTTTTGGCAGAAATGCTTTGTCTTGCCCATGATTTTATTTTTTCTTTTTGTTTTTTGTTTTTCCAGACAGGTTTTCTCTGTGTAGCCCTGGCTGTTCTGGAACTTGCTCTGTAGATCAGGCCGGCCTCCAACTCAGAGATCCGTCTGCCTCTGCCTCCCAATGGGATTGTTTACTGCCACCACCTCCACCACCCCTACTATCCATCTAAAGGGCCGCTGCTAGTCAGTCTCCCAGTCAGTTGGGAATCGAACTCTGGTCACCAGCATGACAGGTGGGGATCCTCATCACTATGGTAACAAGGATGACTCTTACCAGTGATTTTAATGTCTTCAGAGGCATGCATCTTACTGTCTTGCTCAGATTCCGATGCCAAGGCTAATTCAACTTTGATATTTTACAGTTTATCCCCCAAACAGAAAAAGGTTGACCTTTCCGAGTGTGGGTGTTGATGCTGGTGACCCCCGGCAGTTTATTCACTGCCCTGAAACTCCTCTCTTTATATGGCTCGGTTGTTTCCACCATGCACGATGGGGAGAGTGGGAGCTGTTCGTTTCCTTCTGCTCTTGGTGGGAAATTAATTACATGAGTTAGTCAGGAGAGGTCTAACTTGATTGTCTAGGGCCCTGTCATGCCTGGTAGCAGCATCCCACGGCTACTTTAGAGCTGGGGGAGTTGAAACAGGCTCTTCTAGGTGGACCAGTAGCCTCTGCTTAGAAACACAGGGCTCCGCTGTCAGGTCCTAGCATGGTAGTACATGCCCTCCTTATTAAATGTATATATATTATAGACTATAGAAATTAAGTACATGGAATGAATGGCATGAATACAGACACACACACACACACACACACACACACACACACACACACACACACAATTACTTCGTTTCCCCCTTCCTTTTTCTCCCTCCAAACCTTTTCGTGTATCTACACTGGCTTGCCTCCTTTCAGATTCACGGTCTCTTTCTTTTGTTGTTGTTATTGTTCTTGTGTTGCTGTTGTTGTTAGTGGTAGTTGTGTGTGTGTGTGCACGCACACACGTGTTACTAAATACATAAATTCCACCTGCTAAGCCTGTGTCTTGTTACTTGTACATCTGTGTTTTTCAGCTGATCATTTGGTATTAGGTAACCAGTTGGTGTGTTCCCTGGGGAAGATGTTTCACCTGCTCCAGCATTCCACAGTTGCCTGTAGTTGTCTAGGGTTGAGGCCTCTTAAGTTTTCCACTTCCACTTTAGCGTGTCTATTGATGTTTCCTTGTTCAGGTCATGTTTAGGCAGCCTTGTTAGTGAGACTTCAAGGGTGTGGCTCCTGACATTTCTAGAAGACATAATCTTATGTCTTCTACCTACCTCTTCCCCTGGCTCTTAAAGTTTTTCTGTCCCTTCTTCCACAATGACCCCTGAACCTTAGGTTTCCTAGGTAAGGGGTGAGTACTACACTTATCTATGGGATAAGGACAAATGTTTGGAATGTAGTTAGGGATTATGTTGCACCCCTTTTTGAGGTGCTAGAGATGGAACCCAAAGTCTTGCTTATGCTAGGCAAGTACTGTACCACGGAGCTACATTCCTAGCCGCCCATCCCCAATGTGCCTTCTCTTCAGGGTCATATTCTGTCAAGTTTCTGCAGATGCTCAGAGGGTGTGTGTGTGTGTGTGTGTGTGTGTGTGTGTGTGTGTGTGTGTGATTGCAGTGTCAGTACCTGTGACTCTACGGAAGTTGGGGGAGGGGGCTCCTTTTTGGTGACTTAAATACCTTCTCCTGGTGGAGATTAAGCCTCTCTGCACAGTGCCTGTCACATCTGAGGGGCCTCTTTATCATCTCTTCCAGCTTCTGGTTTGACAAGTTGGAAGTAGGTCACTGAGCTAGGGCCAGTCGGGTTGAGCGGGCTGAGGGAGTGGTCCTGCACACCTGCCTTCCTCCATCAGTCAGGTGGCACTCCAGCGGGCTGCTTCACCCCCTTTGTGAGGCTGTGCTGCCGGCATAAGGGGCACTTGGGTGTGTGCATGCTGCCCTGGCTCTGCTGATTCTGTTTGATCTCTTAGTTGCAGCTTCTGGTGTCCGTTTGTGGCAGTGAACCCTCTTGGATCTTATGGAGAGCCTAGCAAGGCCTCTGGTACAGACAGACACGTGTCATCTTGGATATGGGAAAGGGCCACTGAGATCTGCGCTCCAACTTTTCTGTTTAGTAGAGTTCTCCATGAAGTGTTGGCTTCCCTTGAACTTTACCTGGAGCAAGCATTAATCAGGCTGAGAATGGTAGAGCATCAAGAGGCATGGAAAGTGATTAATTGGCTGGGGTTGGCTGGGTGGTTTGGCTATTGGTGGCACAGTATAAGTAAGACTTAAGTAACAATGTGTTTTGGTAAGTGTGAGGGCCTTTTCCCTCTGAGGTCCCGGAAATGTTGCAGCGACTTCTGGGGTGATAAGAGAAATAAGAGAACATGGACCAGTGTCCAGCCCTCACTATTCTCCCATGACCCAGGCCCTGCCTGGCAGAGCCCCACCCTTCTAGTTGTAGGCTTGTCCCACCTGGACTGTTGTAAAGGTTGTGCTAAGGTCAGCTCCCTGCTTGTGCTTGAAGCAGGAAGTCTCTGCCTTGGGGATGCCCCACTTGAGGCGCAGTAAACATAAGTTGCTGGAGGGAAGAGTCAGGTCTGGATAGGAGTTCTTAGCTCTGCTAAGAGCTGTATGTGAAGGCTTTGTGTAGCTGTGAGTGTGTAGGATTCCATATTCCCTTCCTTCATCCTTTCTTTCTTCCCTCCCTCTTCCCTCCTCCTCTCGCCTTCTCTCCCCTCTCCTCTACCTCCCTCTCTTCCTTCCTTCCTTCCTTAATTTTTTTTTGTCATGTATGTGTGTGGGAGTACATGGGCAGCACTCACGTGGAGGCCAGGGGCCAACCTGCGGACTCATCTCCTTGTACCTTTATGTGATTTCCAGGGAGGGAACGAGATGAGCGGGCGTACACTCCAAGCCCCTCTACCTGCTGAGCTATCTCACTGGCTCAGAGCACCATTGCTGTTGGCCCTTAAGACCATTTGTCTTGTTTGTTTGTTTTCAGTAAGTGTGTGTGTATGTATGTAATTGTCGTTTTTGAAACTGCAGGTTGTGGAGGCGTCATCGCTAAGCTGGAGCACTAGAATAAAAGGCTTCATTGCATGCTTTGCTCTAGGAATCCTGTGCTCACTGCTGGTAAGATTTCCTTCTGTCCATGGCCTTTGCCTAGTTCTCTGCTGTAGCCTTCCCTTTGCCCAGTTTTCTCTTTGACATTAAATTAAACAGAGTATGGATAAACAGGGAGGGAGATAGGAGGCAGGGAGGGCGGCTGTGTGGCTCTGGTGTCTGTGGGGGTCACTGCGCTCACGTGCACATGTCCTCTGCTTCCCTTTAGGGTACTCTTCTGCTGTGGGTGCCCAGGAAGGGACTCGGCCTCTTTGCAGTGTTTTACACTCTGGGTAACATCACATCAATCGGGAGGTAACCTTCTTCTTGTTTCTTTTCTTCAGCCTTGTTCTTTATTAGATGGTGAATAGCCATCGTATGTGAGGGAGGGAGGAAGGGAGAAGATGCTCCTTGTCTTTAAGAATTTGGAGAGAAGGTAGATACTTGGCATGTATCACCTTCATATCTTCTTAATTCAAAAATATCCTATGTTGTAGTTTATCTCTGACACCCCTGGGAGAATCCAGAAATCGTGTCACCGGTGCTTTGTATGAGGGAACTTAGCAGAAAGCATTGGAATAATTTCTCCCAGGTACACGACGTAGCCAGCCCTCCTTGTGCTGCTCTCACTGCCCTCAGAGACAGGGATGCAGCTGCTGCTTCTGAAAGGGCTCACCATGTGAGTGGCTGTGAGACTGGCAACTGGTTACCATGTGGTGCCACACCATTCTTCTGTGTGAGGCACATGGTGTGTGCTTTCCAGAGGAGGTCACCCATTCAGCCTACATCAGGTGCACAGATAACTGGAGTGACCTTGTTCACTCTGATACTTCAACTGCATCTGTGCAGACAATGCTGGTCCTGCCTCCAGTGGGAAATGCTGTCCTAGCCCTATCAGAATGCACTTCAGGAATCTGACTGGGCCATCTTTCCTTCCCCTTTATTCTCCCCCATGTTTCTATAAATAACTTCAGAGTCCTATGGGGAAAGGGGTCCAGGAGCCCAAGTTTTCCCATGTGTCATAATTACTCAGTAGCTGTTGTCTTTTCTTACCTAACAGCAGGTCGAGGCAGTTTCTTACAGAAGGTGGTCCCTGGATTGCTTTTAACTCTTCCATCTTCTCTTTAGCAGCTACTCCAACCTTCTTGGTTGGCATTCTTCTCCCCTCTTCTTGCCCCTCTCCAGTCCAGGCTAGGGAGCCTTTGTTTATAGTCCTGTGTGACTCCCTGCCCCTTCTCTGCAGATGGAATCCAAACAGAGTATCTCCAGGCATCCCTGTGCTGCTTCTCAGACCATGTTCTCTGCCTGCTGTCCTGCCCACCTCTCTGCTCCCCAGTCTGGCTGATGACTTGCTCATTTGTCAGATCCTGGCTCTAATCTCACCTCTTGTGCATGCACACGTACATGCATGTATGTGTGTGTATATGTGTGTATGTGTGTATGTGTGTGTGAAGCTTTGCTGATTACTGCCTCCTTCCTGGAACTGGTAACCTCCCCCTTCTTCTCTGTCTTGTCTATACTTAGGAGACAGCACAGGTTGCAATGACTTGTTAACAGTGTAAAACACTTGTCAAGGGCTGCCTGCATGTGTGCCTCACTTGTCCCAAGTTCTATCCAAACTCCAGCACTGTTCCTACCCGTAGGTGGATGGTAGAATGTATAATCTAGGCTTAACTTACTTCTTTCTTTCTCTCTTTCTCTCTTTCTCTCTCTCTCTCCCTCTCTCTCTCTCTTTTTCTTTTTCTTTTTCTTTTTTTTTTTTTGGGTTTTTCGAGACAGGGTTTCTCTGTGTAGCCCTGGCTGTCCTGGAACTCACTCTGTAGACCAGGCTGGCCTCAGACTCAGAAATCCACCTGCCTCTGCCTCCTGAGTGCTGGGATTAAAGGCGTGCGCCACCACCGCCCAGCTTTCTTTCTTTTTCTTAATGAAACAAGGTCTCTACGTAGCCTTGTCTGTCCTGGAACTCACTACATAGACTAGACTGGTCTGAAGTTCACAGAGATCTGCCCGTTTGTGTGCCACCATACCCACTGGTCTTAGCTTCTCCAGCCTTGAGTTTTTAGTAAGATGCTGGTTTCTGTGGGTTTGCTTTGGGCCTACAGTGTGAGTTAAATGTATAGTCTAGAGTGCGCATAATTATAGATGCATGTTGCTTACTACAACAAAAGAGCTTATCTTAATGGGACAGACTCCATAGCAGGGCAGCGGGAAGCAGTGAAGAGACATTACTTTTGGTGTTATGAGGGGAAAGAAGTTTCTGAGCCTGGACACTTGAGCTCAGAAAATAGCTTAACCTCAAAGAGAGGCAGACACATTGTAAACAACAACAAACTGCCTTTTTTGAATGCTCAGTAGTTAATGTTATCTGTGCCGCTTGTATTGAGTGTCACCGATACAGAGCACCCGTAAGGTGTGCCTGCCACTTGGGTACTTCTTTGGGATCCAGAAAGTGTGACTGAAGCCTGGTGCCTGCACTTGGTGTGTTAGGTGTGTGTGTTTCCCTTGTGACCACTCTCTTCCATTAGTGAGCTCTCGCACCCCCTTCATCCAGAATCACACTAGGGCCTCCAGAGTAGATGTGGGCTGAGCACTAGTGCTTTGTCTTCTATGGGATCTCAGGTACAGTAACCCGCAGCTCAGAGTTGTTGAGGGGACGGAATGAGTACTGTATGTAACACCTGGGACTTAGCCAGCTGTAAGCCGGCACACCAGCAACCATAGTGGATGCTATTGAAATTCCTGAACCTCTAGGGCATGCTTTTTGTTTCCTAAGTCTGAATCTTGGTTTGCTTCTATGGGTAGGTAGTCAGGGAGGCAAAGTAGCACCTTTCAGAGAGGGTGGTGTGCAGTGTGGAGAGAGAGAGAGAGAGAGAGAGAGAGAGAGAGAGAGAGAGAGAGAG